GGTGTGTTTATCAACTTCACTTTCATTCTCTTTTGAGGTAATAACTATGAAGACGTTTTTCTATTAACAACCTTTCTCGACAGGGAATCTATTTTTTATTTTTGAAAGCTAACCGTTTTATTTTCTTTGTGATGAATTATTTGGTTATGTAATTTTCGTTTCAAATTTGCGTGATTATATAAGGGGAAAGAAACAAAAAGAGAAAAATGTTTAGTAAGTATGCGTGTTTCTAATACCTTAACTGAATTCTAATTTCTAGCGGTTTTACTCTTGTTGTCTTTGGCTCAAGGCCATATTCTCCTTTACTTTATTATAAACTACTAGGTGGTGATTTTTGTTTGGTCATCTTGTAACAGGTTGCTAAGGATATTGGTTTCGAGCTGGCACCACGTTGACAATATGCCGTGGGCATGTTCTTCTTGCCTGCATCTGAAAGTCGAAGGGAACAAAGCAAAATTGTATATACAAAGGTAACTTAGCTAAAATTTGGCCTGTTTGTTCTCATTTCTTTTGCTGTCTATGTTTAGTTTAGTGGAGACTTCATCTATATTCTTATTCTTTTACGTGAACTCCAGCGAGGAGCATCTTCATTATTGCTCAAATATTTGAAATGGAATTCTTGGCACAGTTCCGGATTTCTATGTTTTGAGTTGCCATTCCGATTAATTGCTAGAATTTCTTATATCTTGTCTTGATGTTGTTTTCTGAGAATTTATGAAATATATTGTAGGTGGCCGAGTCTCTTGGGCATACTGTACTTGGGTGGCGCATGGTCCCCACAGATAACTCAGGATTGGGCAAATCTGCTTTGCAGATAGAACCTGTTATTGAGCAAGTGTTTTTTACACCTACGCCTCGGTCAAAAGCTGATTTTGAGCAACAGGTAAATCTCTCTCTGTTATGCTAGAACAGTTTTTAGGCTTGAAAGTGGGATGATTTGTCCGTTCTGCATTCACTGGCTTCCCCTGACTAAATCCATGATAACTAGTACCTATAGTGGATTTTGGCAGAAAGTACTCACAATATTGGGGTTACATGATTTGTCAGTTGTGCATGGACTGGCTTCCCCTGATTGAATACAATCCACTAGTACCTCCAGTGGATTGTAGGAAGAAAGTACTCACAATATTGGGGTTGTTGCATGATTTCCCATGGGGAAGTTCCCTTGATTTTACAATCTATTTGTTTTGTAAAAATGAGGTGAAATTGATGAACCATGTGACTCTTGCAGGATACTTTCTCAGTCCTCTCTTATTTCCCGTAATGTGTTTTATTTGAGAGTTTCATCCAATTATTTTCTTCCTTTGAAAGACTCCTGGTCTTCGCACTTTTGTTGTCTTTCTTTTTCATTCTGCAGATGTATATATTAAGGGGGGTTTCAATGGTGGTAGCTATTCGAGCTGCACTAAACCTCCAACATGGTGGTGTGAGGGACTTCTACATATGTTCTCTTTCCTCGAGGTTTGTTTGCTCTAGTGTCTTGCCGATATGTTCATTGCTGAATTCTGCTTTCAGACTGTGAAGACCTTACCTTGTTTCTGCAGGACTGTTGTCTACAAGGGTCAGCTGAAGCCCAATCAGTTGAAGGAGTACTACTATGCAGATCTTGGCACTGAAAGGTTTACAAGCTACATGGCCCTGGTAAATATATTTTTCATTTACACTTCTAGAAGTGTAAATGAAAAATATATTTACCAGGGCCATGTAGCTTGTAAACCTTTCAGTGCCAAGATCTGCATAGTAGTACTCCTTCAACTGATTGGGCTTCAGCTGACCCTTGTAGACAACAGTCCTGCAGAAACAAGGTAAGGTCTTCACAGTCTGAAAGCAGAATTCAGCAAATGAACATATCGGCAAGACACTAGAGCAAACAAAACCTCGAGAAAGAGAACATATGTAGAAGTCCCTCACACCACCATGTTGGAGGTTTAGTGCAGCTCGAATAGCTACCACCATTGAAACCCCCCTTAATATATACATCTGCAGAATGAAAAAGAAAGACAACACAAAAAGTGCGAAGACCAGGAGTCTTTCAAAGGAAGAAAATAATTGGATGAAACTCTCAAATAAAACACATTACGGGAAATAAGAGAGGACTGAGAAAGTATCCTGCAAGAGTCACATGGTTCATCAATTTCACCTCATTTTTACAAAACAAATAGATTGTAAAAATCAAGGGAACTTCCCCATGGGAAATCATGCAACAACCCCAATATTGTGAGTACTTTCTTCCTACAATCCACTGGAGGTACTAGTGGATTGTATTCAATCAGGGGAAGCCAGTCCATGCACAACTGACAAATCATGTAACCCCAATATTGTGAGTACTTTCTGCCAAAAATCCACTATAGGTACTAGTTATCATGGATTTAGTCAGGGGAAGCCAGTGAATGCAGAACGGACAAATCATCCCACTTTCAAGCCTAAAAACTGATTCTAGCATAACAGAGAGAGATTTACCTGTTGCTCAAAATCAGCTTTTGACCGAGGCGTAGGTGTAAAAAACACTTGCTCAATAACAGGTTCTATCTGCAAAGCAGATTTGCCCAATCCTGAGTTATCTGTGGGGACCATGCGCCACCCAAGTACAGTATGCCCAAGAGACTCGGCCACCTACAAATATATTTCATAAATTCTCAGAAAACAACATCAAGACAAGATATAAGAAAATTCTAGCAATTAATCGGAATGGCAACTCAAAACATAGAAATCCGGAACTGTGCCAAGAATTCCATTTCAAATATTTGAGCAATAATGAAGATGCTCCTCGCTGGAGTTCACGTAAAAGAATAAGAATATAGATGAAGTCTCCACTAAAACTAAACATAGACAGCAAAAGAAATGAGAACAAACAGGCCAAATTTTAGCTAAGTTACCTTTGTATATACAATTTTGCTTTGTTCCCTTCGACTTTCAGATGCAGGCAAGAAGAAACATGCCCACGGCATATTGTCAACGTGGTGCCAGCTCGAAACCAATATCCTTAGCAACCTGTTACAAGATGACCAAACAAAAATCACCACCTAGTAGTTTATAATAAAGTAAAGGAGAATATGGCCTTGAGCCAAAGACAACAAGAGTAAAACCGCTAGAAATTAGAATTCAGTTAAGGTATTAGAAACACGCATACTTACTAAACATTTTTCTCTTTTTTTCTTTCCCCTTATATAATCACGCAAATTTGAAACGAAAATTACATAACCAAATAAATTCATCACAAAGAAAATAAAACGGTTAGCTTTCAAAAATAAAAAATAGATTCCCTGTCGAGAAAGGTTGTTAATAGAAAAACGTCTTCATAGTTATTACCTCAAAAGAGAAATGAAAGTGAAGTTGATAAACACACCTCCTTATAGAAGTCATGA